AGGTGAGGGGCTGGGGCTGTCTGGAGTCCCGGCCTTTCCTTTCACGTCCCCTCCCGTTTCTTGTTTCCCCTCAGCAGCGACAGGATAAGGCCGCGCTGATAAGCGAGACTAGGCGGCGTTTCGAGGCGGAGTACCTGCCAGGTGAGCGCCTTGGTGGTGGAGCTGGGGGTGGGCTGGGAGCGCTGGGCCCGGCTCCGTGGATGTGGTCTTTGGGGCTTGCCCGCTGTCACTTTTCCTCTGTGGGCTTCCTATAACCTCCCTTTCCCAGGTGAGTGGGTGTTTCTGCCTTTTCTTGAGGTAGTTGAAGCTACGGAGTGGGAATGATGGACACTGGTGCTCTGTTCTGGGTGGCTGGCTGGGGCAAGGAGCCCTGTCGGGCCAAAGGTCTGGGTGCTTCTGCCTCACAGCTGTGTGTGTGTGGCTGTAGCGCGGGGTCTGGGACACTGCTGTGCTTGGTGCTCTTTGGAAATGAAACGTGGGTGGGGGGAAAAAAAAGAAAACAAAAAGAATTCTGGCCTTGAGTTTGTCAAAGAGTTGTTTTTCTAGAGTAACTTGCACTTCAAATTGATGCTGGCCTCAATTAAAATCGTGCTGCGTGTCCAACTCAGTTCTCAGGTGCAGAGGCTTTTAAACTTACAAATAAAGGCGAGGAGCTGCTGGGGTTGCCTTGGGGAAAGCGAGTACCAGGGTAAGCCTAGAGGGGCTTCCTTGCATTTCAAGGTTGACTTGCATTGCTTATGATAGAAGAATATACAGTAGTAGCATATACTAACAACTGCAATAAGCAGTACATCTTATTATGACTGTCTAAAGACTTTCTATTAAAAACATGCTTCTATCTAATTTTTAATGCAAATACAGTAAGAGCCTGGTAATTTAGGATTTGCATGTGTCTTCTTTAATATAAACTACAATTCTGCAAACACACGCCTTGCTCTGATGTTCCTGATCAGAATTACTGAGGTTACCTAGTTAGCACTTTTATGTAAGGGTTGCACACTTCTACGACTTCTTTGTGATTGTCTATAGCACTTTTCTTGCAAACTTTGAGGGTCTTGAGGGTGGTGCAACTTCATTTCATATGGTTGCTCTGCTAACTTTCATAAAGGAAACTACTTTGGACTTGGTTAAAGATGACCTGTATTTCTAGCAAGGTGCAAAATCATTAGAATAATGTCTTGAAGAGAGAGGTTGTTTTGCCATTCGGTATTTCTATGAATAAAGACGTCTTTGTCAGTCTCAAAGCTCAGGCTCAGGAGAGTGGAGGATCATCTTAAATTACAAATTCTTTTGGCTGTTAATGTTTTCAGTTAATGTGTATATTTTCCTATGATAGGTGATGCATTTTGCTTTATATTCTATTATCGCAGAGTCGCACTCGTAAAAAAATTACTTTGGAAAGCCTAGAAATGCTTTGGGATGGTTGCTGCTGAAAGGGAGTATTACCTTTTCAAGTGAACTATCCCTTACAGTCTTGGAATTCCACAAGTTTCTCAAGTTGTAATGAAGCCTCTGTTGGGCTGGTTGTTACAGCCATTAAAATAATTAAATGCTGTTGCAAGGTAAGCTGTAATCCTGTTTGCAGTATTTTGAACACATTTTTTCAGTAAGCCCATTTTTGGGTCATGGTTTAGGGCTCTTAGCCCTTTCAAGAAAACAGGATTAGGATTTTTTGAGTTTACATTCTTAAATCCCTCTCTTGAATTTGGGAATGCCACAGGCAAATTAGTGTTGTCATGCCTACTTTAAGTGTGAAAAACACAGGATTTTAGCTTTATTGTGATCCTTCAGCCTTTGCTGTATATGTTCTAAAATGTATTCCCTTATGCTTCCTCTTAATTGAAAAGCGGTGTGGAGGTGCGTGTATGCAGGCACCCCCAGACGTGTGACTTTCTCTGTTGTGAAGGTGCAAATGATTGCTTCATATCCAGCAATTTTAGTCTGCTTTCAAAACTAAGGGCACGGTGAAGGCATCCTGAGAAACTGATACTTTCTGTGAAAGTTTAGTGTGGTGATAGAATTGTGGGCCTCTACAGAATGAACCCAATTCCATTTACAGGTGAGCTGCAAGTGTTAAAATTTGAGTAAAATTTTCTGGCAGTTTGGTTTCTGGGAGGTGCAGCTGCCACTTTTATTTCCCTTCTGAGGAAAGCAGTGTTCTGATTATTCTAGAAACTTGCTGTTTGTGTTATGAAGTGGTACTTCCATATTACGGAACTCATAGGTACTGGTTTCTCTGCCTCTATGCTATGATGGTCTTGTAGTACTGTTTACTTTCGCTGTGAGATGAAAACTTAGAGGGCCTTTGAAATCCTGATTTTTGGTTGAAATTATTTTTTGGCAGAATACAATGTTTTAGACTAGAGTAAAAGATACAGAAATATATTATTGTATAGCCAGTTCAGAAAACTCTAGTATTAAACTGCCACATCTAATATGTGTTGGGAGATATCACTAAAACTTAAAACCAAATAATGTACTATGGTCTTTACAATTTTCAATTGCTGAACAAAACTCTTCCCACCCTACCTTGAAAGCACCTTGAAACTGTTTTCTGTATTATACAGTTGTTTCATTTAAGTGACTAAATCAAAGAATTGTTTTAATAGTCAGATACAGTTTGGAAAATACAGTGTCAGAGAACCTTACTGGCTCATTTCCCCAAACTTCGCACAAGAACTGCCCTGCTGAAGTTGTTCAGCAGACGTGGGCATTGAGGGCTTCTAGGAGGAAAGCTTGGCTGCTGTGAGATCTTATCTGCAAAGCAGTGTTAATAACTGAGATCTTGTGGTGGTGTGTTTTTTTCTTCAGTTAATTTTCTAGCTGTATTTCAAAGACAACTTCGGCTCTTGTGAGGAATGTATATCCCTAGTATTTAAACTCCGTGCATTTAAAAGGCATATTTCCAATACTGAAAAGTTCCTGTTAGCATTTGCTAGTCTATTGGACTATCTGATGTGGTAGGTGGACAGCACTTTATCTTTGCAGTTTTGGGGGCCTAGTTTCTGTTTTGTCTGTTTGGATTCTTTGTGAGAGTTGGTGATGTAAATGATTTGGGTGGTGACAGGAGCAGTGAAAACAAAAGATCATTTTCTGGTACTGACTGGTACTAACAATGTTTTCTAGCAAACAGTCTTGTCTCTTTTGTCAGTGTATTTTCATTCCTTAGAGGATTTCTAAAATTAGCTTTTATTTCTGGGCTGTTAATTTCTATTTTAATGTTACAGCAGAAATTATTTATAATCAAATCTTGCCAGATATTTCCATTCAACAAGTCTTTTCCATGCTTCCTTTGCGTGTTTACCATTTCTTATTCCTTGTATTCCCTGCCCCTCCCCATTTGCCTGAAGGAGAAAGGAAGAGGATGCAAAGCTTAATTTTCAGGAAAAGATTCTGCAAGAGAGGTTTCCCACTCCAATTTAAATTTCATCATGACTTTCTTTAAACCAGTAGCAAAATGTGTTTTGTTAGTCATATTGGCCAATTGCAAATAAAACTTTAGACGTATGGGTCATCCTCAAAAAAACCAGTAATATGACTGTTGTAGAAGACTCTTAAGATAATGTTTTGAATACCTGCTTATGTCTGTTTATGCTCTGAAAAATCTATTATCCCTGATTCTTGGCTTTCAGGCTGAGAAATGATGGAAGGATGAGGTAGGAAACATACGGTTAGGATAAAACTCTTACTTTTATAGAAAACTATGTGTTATTAATGCTTGATCTTTCTATTGAGATTAGTATTTATTGTCACTGAGAGTGTTCAGTTTTGCTGAAAGTTTAAATTTATCTACCTTTACAAGATGTGGTATCTTATTTGTTTATTGCTGCTTGATTTTGTTGAAATAACTCCTTATTGAGTGGAAATAGTTTCTTCTTCATCCCTGTGCCTGTATGGCTACTGACCTTGAATTGTTTTCAGTCTTGCAGATTTCCTCAAACAGTTGGAGGCACATGCCTGAATGGTTATAATACTTAGCTTAACATGTTAGGCATCAACAGCCAATTAAAATGGGTTTTCTTTTTCTAGCCGAGGTCAGAGGAATAATTATGACCATTTCAGACGCAAGACTTCTTGGCTGAAATAGCTTAAGGCAGTAGTTAAATTGAGAGACTTTGTGTAATGGAACACTTGACATACTTTGCTAAGTTGCTTTTTTCCAGTTTTTTGTAAAATGAAGTGGGTTTTTTCCATCCATTCAAAGGTATGTAGTTGTTATCCCTACTTAGCTTTCTGTATGACTTGTTCTGTAACATTTCCTTTCTGGATAAGAGTTCTTCCTGAAGGCAAGAGTCATTCTTACAAGTTGTGAATTCTATACTTCTCTGCATTAATTTAGTGTGGGACTTAGCTCTGCTGCTTGTTTTTTCAGTCCTGTAGTCTTTCTTCTATATTCTTGTTGACTGTTCTCAAATTTCTATTGTTTTTCCTAAAGCCTGAGTGCCAGAAGAAAACACAGCAGTGCAGCATCAGCCTCCTGCTAAGTAGGTGACGCTGAAAAAAAAAAAATGTGAAGAGAAGAGATATTGCAGTTTGCGCATCAAAGAATTTCATGAGTGCTCCCAGGGCAAGTGTTGAAGTGAAATTTGTGTTTGGTTTTGCATGATTCTGGAGTTCTTTTCAAAGCTGTTGTCTTGTGTTATACTAGATCCTTTATGTTGCAAGATAGTAATTAAGTCAGAGTTTCACTGTAAGTTTCTCAGCTTGAAGACAACAACTATTAAAAAGGCAGAATGTGGTCATAAAAAGAACAGAACTCCTCACTTAAGCAAGAAAAAAAGGAAGGCGAGTAATAGGAAGAAGCTGCTGTTCAAACAGAACTTTATCTTCTCCCAGTCTTCTCCCTTGACCTCAAATGTTCAATGAGGAAATGAAAATAATTTTAAATAGCTATCTTTTAAAATAAGGTTAAATAAAATTATGAACTTTGAAACCTTTAAAGTTTTCTTGAGGTCTGAGACCTGGTCAATCTTCTTGCTCACTCAAATTTTCCTGAAGGCCTTTTAGCTGAGGAAATGGAGAGCTAATTTTGGCCTCTTTTCCTTGCTGATGTCACTGTTGCTGCCCCATATATAATTTAGAATTTGGTTTTAATGCTCTGATAAATATCAAATTTGCTAAGCAGATCATGCTTTCTCTTGCCTTTTTTGGATCTAAGTTTTGCTTAGTTTCTACACAGCTTACCAGTTCAGCAGAAAAGTCTTGAAGCATCCCAGTTTTGCCTCTTGCACTGGCTGTGGAACTATTCTCAGATGCAGGAAGGTGTGAATCTCTTGGGCTGAGGGAGGAACCAGGTTTCCAGGCTTCTGGACAGTTGTCTTAACCATGAAATGTTTCACAAAAGTCTAGTGCTGCTGTTACATAGGTGGCTTTAACTAGCTCTTTCTGAATAGAAGTAGCTGTGAATGCTCTTCTGTTACTTTTGGGGCAAGCAGGGCATGTTCCATGTGAAATTGTGTTTATTATGGACTTAATTACAGAAATGTCCATCTCCCTGAGTTAGACGGTGACTAAACCTAGTGTCTCAGCATCTTAGTGGTGGTTCTGCAGGTGTGATGAAACAAGCAGTTAATTCCCTAGTGAGAAAAGCATCAGTATATGTTTACAGGTGTCTTAAATGGCTAGGCTTGAAGATTGTCTGAGGTGAGATACTCCAGTTTATAGTTTCACCTGAATTTCCATTTGGGTGCCTCTCAACTGCTGTTTTCTTTTTGGCCTCTTAATTGTTGTGCAGCGTGTGTTTTAAATTATGTGTTGAGAAACCCAAATGCTATTTTCTTTCAGCTAGTTCTGTGTTAACTCCAGAAATTTCTAATAATTCAGTAAGTGCAGTCAAGTGTTCCGTGAGTGATTTTAAAATCAGAAACATTCAGATTATTTCACAGCATAGTTTGAAAACAAGTTTCAAAATGTCTACAGAATTATGGAAAATGTACAAATGTGAAGAGGAATTCCTCCTCTGAATTGACGTATTTTCAATGACTGGATTATTAGAAGGACTCCAGCAATTTCATATCACTCTGCTTTATATGTGTGAGATGAAACACCTTTCTTCTGGGTTCACAGTCTCATTCTAAAATTTATTTATTTTGTAGCAAAAATTTGGTAAATCAGGTAAGGTTGAAACAGTAATCAGTATTCCTGTTGTTCTGTCAGTCTTATTAAACTTACCTGTTTGAAGTACCAGCATCCTGCAAGTGCCTGTGGAGGCAAAATTTCACTTGTTTTTCCTGGTTGAATGTGTGTTGTAGTATATATGTAAATTCAGATTACATATGTCATCTTGTTGAGAATTTAGTTGCTGTAGAGAGGAAAAATATTTTTTTCAACTGTACTTATCTCTGAATCCAGCTTGCTTTTCATTGATGTTGAAAGTTTGAGTAAGATGTTTTCTCCATTCCTCTTTCACTTTCATTTTCTTAAAATATTCACCAAGTTAAATTTCTATTTCTTTAGTCTTAAGTTCAGAGTTTGTGAAAATTTGTTAGTGGCCCAGAAATGTGTGTTCTAAGACACGTTCTGCATAATGATACATGAATGTTTTTAAATTATTGTTTTATACAAGATGCACTACTCTGTCATTCTGGCAGTTCTGCTCTCAAATAGATACTGAGAGCAAAGAGGGCCTCAGAACTCAGTGTGAAACATTTTCCTCTTAGTTTATGGTGTGTGGTTTTTTTTTCTTTAACTACACAGTACTCAAATCCCGTATACAAATAGGATATACATGGAACTGATCTCAGAAAAATATATAGCTGATTGATTAACTGCAGTCTCTCTTAGCTGGGAGCTAGTGTGTGTTCGAGATTATTAAACCAAGTTGAACTAAGGTAGTTCAGGGACTGGAGGCATGTCATACTCATGTTAAAATAAAGCTTTGCTCTTGCAAACCCTTAGTTTGCTGTGGCTATGAATAGCTATATGTGGCTTGACTAGCCAATATACCATATTGAATAATCCATAGCATAGAATAGCTAGTATACCATGGCTAAGAGAAGCCAGTGCTTCTCTTTAGCTGACTGAATGTGCCAGCTTAGTTCCTGTACATGATGGTATCTCTGAAGGGCACTTGGGTTGGAATGCATCTTACATGGAGAGGCTGAGGAATCTTTCTACACTTTTGAGTTTTCAAAACTTGACTGAAAAAGTTACTTAGTGACCTGTGTGTACTTGGAAGTTAGCCTTGCTGTGGGCAGGAATTAGGACTGAGATGACCTGCAGAAATCCTTTCCAATGTTAATTTTTTATGATAGTAGGTACTGTTAGCATTTCTCAGGCAAAAAAAGTCCAAATCGTAAATCATTGGGGGAATAATTAAATTTCAAATGAGCAGTTGAGACTTTACAAAATTTAATACCCAAAATCTTTGTAACTTGTTCCATCTGTGGTTGACCTAGAGCCAGAGAGAAATTAAACAGCATTTCAGTCCTGTCCTAAGTGTTCACTTTACTGGGCTTAGTCAGAATAAAGGGAATGAGCTGTCTGGTGCCAGTATGGAAATGATGAGAAAATGATTTGAAAGAATGAGAGAGTTTTTAGTGGATTGGAGGCTTTTGGGCAGAGAGGAGCAAGTACAGGACTAAGATTGAGGAAAGTGGGATTTGACTGTAGGCTTGGCTAAGGAACAAGTAGTTGTAGGTAGTGGGATGGGATCAAGGGAAGCAAACACTTGAAACCTAGTGAAGAAGGAATGGAGCAGATAATGTAGGTGAGAAGCGGTCGGATGTGAAAAGATTCCTTGGGGGAGTGCAACTATAATTCCTACTGAATGGGCGCATTTAAAATGGGTATATTCTTAAGTTGTATTGACTAATTTGTGACAGGAAACAGTATAAATTGAAAAACAAGTAAAATAGGTCATATCTTTGCATGTAGGCCAGTAGAACTAAAAATATTAGCAGAATTTAATGGTGCCTTTTTCTTAACATCTTCCTCAGAGTTAAGATGTCTGATTGAAATATGCATCTTTAAACCATCCAGTCAGTTCTAAATAGTTATTTTAATTATGATGGCCCTGAAAGTAGTTATTTTGAGTTTATTGCTACTGCCAGAGGAATAGTATTTCCAGTATGTGAAAACTAACACCTATTCTATTAGCAGCCAGTCTCAACTTTTTTCATGCTAATCACAAATGAATTTAAGTGAATAGTTTAAGAGCTTATGTTTTTTTAGTAGTTAGCAAAAAGATGTGTATCAGGGTCTGTTGCTTTCAGAAACCTGTTTCTATCATGAGCTCCTACTTGATTTTCATTCCAGTTGTGCAGATTTCTCAGAGTAGCATTGATCTAAAAACTGAGTCTTTGTTTAAGCATATCTACAATAAAAATAGGTCCACTTAGACATTTGTATTTTACAAACCTTCCTGTTTAAAAAAAAAAAAGTAAGGAGCAGCAACAATTCCTATTTCTTCTGAAGTACTTCCTAAAGCATATTAAATAGTTATCCTGTTGCTAACCTGATACAAGAAGAGTTTGGGGCTTGGGGGTTTTCTATTGCTCTAGAGTTGCACGTAGTTTATTTTCAGTAAGTTAATTATTTATGACAAGTGTAGAATGTGTAATCTTTTTAAAGAAAACAATTTTGTTTAATGCAATGATGTATAGTGTGTTGTCAAAAATAGTCATTTTAACATCTGTTCTTTGACATTTCATGGTCTGACATGCTGATGCCTGTAAGTTTGAGAAGTCAAGCTTGAACTAGTGATGCTTAATACAGACATTCATCAATAAACAGATTCTTAGACTATGTAGTAATTTATATTAATCATAGAAGGCTGTTTTCAGAAAATTACACCTACCCTGCACACAGCTTGTTTTCTAATCTTATTTCTTTGAATAAGAATCACAGAAAATATTTTTTTAGTGAGAGTAATCTTGTAGTGTTCCTAAATATCGTCACAGTAGATAGATGTTTTTAATTAATTTCTCATGCTATGCTTTGTCTACTTAAGTTTGAGACTGCAAAAGAAATCATATGTACCTAGTAGGTGCTTATATTGAAATCTCCTTTTCATGTTTTCATAGCAAATACTATATTCTTATTATAATTGATTTATTTGCTAGATAAATCGGATAAATATGATTCTAGAGATGTGGAAAGACTTCAGCAAGATGATAAATGGGTTGAAAATTACCTGATTTGGCGTCACGATGTTGTGGATGATACATTAAAGATGATTGATGAAAGCTTTCAGTGGAGGAGAGAATATACAGTTAATGGTAAGCTATGTTACATAATGATGTTGATGGTGTATGTTGCTTTCCTGTTGAACTACAACTGACTTCTATATGTAGTTTCATAAAGCACCTTTTAAAGGTTTTGTAAGTACCACAAAGAGCTGAGCAAAAACTTTTCTACTCAGTTAAAAAAAAGAAAAAAAAGAAAAAATTAGAACTATTGCTTTTTATGTTGACCAGTACTGTCTCACTGTTTTGTTGTGGTTCCATGTCTATTGAAAGGTTGTTTAAGAGGAAGGAAGCTATCTATCTCTTATTTTGTCTTTACGTTTGCTGGAATGGCGTCCTTAAAAGCAAACACCACCACCACACACAAAAACCAGGGCTCTGTTGTTCATCGTAGTAGCACTGGTCTGACACCCTAGGTGGAATAGGTCTGGGTTTTGTGCTGTGAGGGTATTTTGAAGGTGAGTTCTATCTACAGGATTCAGAATCCAAATTAAAGGGTAGAACAAGAGGGGCTGCAGATATAAGCAAAAATAAGCATTTGCATGATTTTTTCTTATATCAATTTTTTATTCTTATTTCTTCCTAAATAGAGCCTACTCTGCAGCATGAGAGGAAGAAGATAGTAAAGATTTCAAATGAGCTCAATGTTTGCATTAGTTTAGTAAAGGCCTTGGAAAGTGGTTTATAAAGACATTTTTGCATTTTGTTGCTAGACTTCTGCACTTTTAATGACTTCTGTAAAGTAGTTATTAATACAATTACTGAAATAATCTTTCATTTGGCTTTGCAGACTTGACAGAATCTGTCCTTCCAAAATGGTTGTTTGAAAATGGTTCTCTCTTTCTGCATGGATATGATAAAGAGGGCTATAAATTATGTAAGTTACACAGAATATAATATTTTCAGTCATGGATCGTTGTTTTTTGTTGCCAGCATTTTATCATCTATTTTGAAAAATAAATGTTTTAAAAATAGAAGTAGGTACATATTGGCAGCTTCTTTTCCTAAAAATTACGAGAAGTTGGTAACTTTGAGTATCTCTTTCGATCACAGGAGTGTAATGAGGTAACTTTATCAGCAGTTTTCAAAAATCATAAACAGTTATCCTAATTGTAGTGCAGTTTAACTTTCCTGTTGAAGAGTATTGTTTCTGCATCTACTGTGGTGAGTATACGAGTAGTAGAAATGTTCATTATTACAGTGCATTGTCATTGCTTTTCTAGCAGCTCACATTCTTGCATACTTGCAGTGGTTCACAGGAGGTCTGCAGTGGTTTTCTTGTCTTGTTTTTTCATTTTCTGATGTGATCGGAATGTTCAGTAACAGCATGGACAACTGAGAGTTATTGGAGAACGAACTCTCAAGTTATGTGATTAACTTCTAGTTGTTAAAGAATAAGATTTTTACAGTAAATATTGCCTGAAATACTCCTGAGGTTATTTTAATATGTATAATAGTGTATAATAGATGGTCAATATTATTTTCTATGAATGAATCTGTTGTAACATCTTACATATTTACTTTTAAGTAAGCTTAAATCTTGTGAGGCAAAAGAGGCTTTTTAAACAAAACAGGAGACTTTCCAAGCAGTGATTTTGAATCTTGGGAAAAAAGAAACAACACCAAAATTTAAATCTGAAATTCTGCTTTTCCTTGGTTTCCAAGACCTAGTTTGTACTTCCAGAAGTACACTAACAATCCAGTCTTTTACAGAGATGACTGTGCTTTAAACACCAATATACTCGTTTTCAAAAAAAGTCATGACTAGAAAAATACAGCTTTTATTCTATGGCTGTGTTTTGTCAAATTGTCCCTTTTCTTGTCATTGTAAGATATCAGCGCTGTATGAAAAATTGCTGCTTTGTTACGCTTCATGATTTTCTTTCAGCTTTCAAGATAAGTGATGGTGATACTTTTTTATAGCGTTTAAAAAGCTGAGCATGATTATTCTGGGTGGTTCAGTTTGGTGAGATTGGTGGGGAGAGAAGTAGAAAAAACATGACTTTCTTGCATCAGTGCTTGGACTGAGAAAACCATGCAATTTGTTTCATGACAAGAATATGTAAGTCAGGTAAATAATGATTTCTGATTTTATTGTCACTGAAACAACTAATATCTCAATTTTCCGTACCTGAAATGTTTCTTCTATGAACATTAATTGGGTCAGAATAGCTAACTTGATACGCAAATTCAGATTGTATTGTGGTTAAGAGTTCTGGTTAGTCAACATTTGAAAAATGTGTTTCTTGGGCCACATGCTCCATTCTCATTCTGTTGGCTAAAATAGACATTTTAAAGTATAAAGAAGTTCTTCAAGAATTATTGGTTACTCTCACAAGAGTCCTATGTTTGACTTGAAAGGGGTATCTTTTTGAAATTCTGAACTTACACCTACTTAATATGCTAAGTTTAAAAAAAGAATTTCTTTACACGAACTATAAAATGTTTTTTATTTGCAATTGGAAATAAGACATGGAGAAGAAATCTGTTTTTCGCTAAGACTTTCCAAGTGTCAGGGCGAACAATATTGGAGTATATCTATAATTATTTTTGGGGCTTGTCTAATTAAGGTATTGTGGTGGTACCAAAAATTAAGGCTGTTCTTCACATTGCTGCCCCAAATATTTCTTTTATCACTTCATTGTATAATCAGTAATTTGGCTTCAGACATTTTTATAAAGTCTGTTACTTTGAAGTATGCTACTTTTCATGGAAAAACTTGTCTCTGCGTGACTCATTTCTTATTCCGAAAGGGTATGTATTGTGCTATCATTTGTATAATGTTGCTCATCTTCTGGAATTTTTAATTTTATTTTGGAAAGGTCTGTTGCTTTTTATATAACTCATAATGTGTGTATAAATAGTTTTTCAAAACACATCAACTGCAATGCTGTAGAAAACCTAAGCAGAAAAAAAACCCATAAATTTCGCAACTACAACAATAGTTAGAATATATGCAGAACATGATGTATCAGAGACCATGTGATTCAATTTGAAATTATGAAATTATAATCTAGATAAGAGTAGTCTTTAAATATACGAAAAGTATTTTTCCACTCTACTGTTTCTCCTGTGCTGTAATTCTTTGTATTTTCAATTTTTAAAAAATTCTGGTGTAAAAATGTGAGCAAGGAAAGGAGGGTATGTGGAAAGATAGGCAGTTGCTTTTCTGGCTGTTCAGTGGTGACAAAATCAGAAATGTAGAATACAAACTCAGAGGTGTTAATACATTTCAGTGCATCCTGTATAGTTATTTGAATAATGTTTTATGTTAATCTGGATCTATTGTTTCAGTTTTTGTATGTGTTTTTCTTCTCACAAGTTTGGTTCAGAGTGAAACATCATACAAGGGATCCTAAACAGCAACTTGAGAAAAAGAAACTGGTAGCTTTTTGGTTGGAACATTATGCCAAGAGAGATCATGGAAAACCCTTAACAGTGGTATTTGACATGGCTGAAACTGGAATCAGTCACATAGTAAGTGTTTTTATTGTGTTTTTGATTGCTTTCTGAATTATTTAACCTGTATCCCCAGAAAAGGGGAAGTCCCTGTGCAGTCCTTGACATCTAAATAACTTAACAATTGCTCACATCAGTCATATGTAGGGCTTCTTCCTGTGACATGAGCAGTTTCCACAATCTTTTCTTACATATTAAACTTTACGTCTTTTGCAGCACACTGAAAACTTCTTTTTAGTTTGGTGACTGAGCTAAAGTGACTATATGTAGTAGTTGTTCACCAGCTTGGTTTGTCAGTTGTCATGGATGACAGTAGTAGAACTTTGTTTTTAAGCACCCACAAGACCATAGGCTGAGCCATCTTTTTTGAGTACAGTTGCTGCCATTTCTTCAACAGCTCCATTTTCATTGTTGTTATCTTCTTTGGCCGAATCAGTCAGTAAAGAGTGAAGTATGGAAAAACGAGGTAATGGTGAAGCATTAAAACGCTCAGATGCAGTGGCTGAGATCTTTGATCTGTTCTGACAAGTCAGCATCTTCAGTTGATAATTCTGGTCTTGGTCCTGCCTCACCGTGCTATGTATGCTCCCCCTGTATATTTAAATTGTGTTCATTTCTTAAGTCCCTGCATGTATCTCTCTACCAGTGGGATTCACAGGGAGTGTTCTGAGCAACCTTGAACAATATAGCCTTGAAGGAAATAGACTGAGAAAGTAAGTAATGAAGAAAGCGCAGAAAGTGAGCTGAAGATAAAAATGTTTTGAAGCACAGCTGTGAGACCGAAACTAGAAGACGCGTGTCTTGATTAACAGCAGCAATTAAAAGCTTAGCCGCGGTGCGTGGACGGCAGGCGTTAACCAATCCATGAACAAACTAGAGCGCATGGACAGCTGGTGAATCTATATAAGCACAGACTTGTAAACAATAAAGGTCTTTGGTTTTACCTGCGCCAGAGTCCGTGAATCAGTCCCTACATCTACCCATTGAATAGCGTTGTGAAAAGAAGTTAGCTAGTAGGCATTACTTTCAGTATTCACCTTAACCAAATACAGCCCAAATCTCTTTTATTAACAAAACATGTTATTACAGTGCTGAGGCTAATATGATGAAGAAATCTGCATGCTTGTTGCTGTGTACAGGTACAGAAAAAAAGAGGGTGTCTGAATTTGAGCAGATATGATAGACTTCTGAGTTGTAGGCCTGCCCATCAGGCTGAAGTTTATACTTCTTCAGGAATAGTATCTTCCCACCCTTTTTCAGTTCCTTGTCCAACCTGTCAGCCTAACTGAAGACTGCTGCCTCCAAGCTTGACCTTACATAAACGAGAGATTACAACTCTTCGTTCAGAAGAGAAGACATTTCTCATAGCAAAGTTTTTATGCATTTCTAGATGCTCCTTTGGACTACAAAATGAAGGAGGAGCAGTGTAGCTCAGTCACTTCTGTGAAAGTGATGATTATTCAAAAGGTTGCGATTAGATAAGAAAATTCTAATGACTTTGAGTGGGATTTCACCTTTGCTTTGGACATAATTGTAGAACTGAATCATTAAAGAAGCCAAAAGGAATTCTACTAGTTTTGGAAACTGTTCCAGCAAACTATTTCCCATTTGTACAATAATTTACAAAATTCAAAATTTCCTCAATTTTAAAAACATTTTAGAATTAAGTACTTGAAATTCCATGTTCTATATATTTGGAAATAAGTATTTAAAAAATTAATTCCATATCAATTAGTCGTATGTCAGGTCAGTATCCTATTTTGGGAATTACTTAAAGATTTATTGTAGTTATACCTAGATTGGGTAATTCCCTGCCTGAAGTAAAATTCAGAGAATGTTTAGATGCTCACTGGAATTTAGCAAGTTGTTCATATATGTTGCATGAAACTAAATGTATTTAAGAAACATTCCTGAATTGATGGTCTTAGCTGTTCTGAAGTCCTGTGCCTATATGGAAAAGTGGAAGATTTAAAGAATGTGATTTGTGGGGTTTTGAATTTTCAAAAGCTTTATTTATTGTCTCTTTGGCCATAATATTTCATAAACTGATCATAAAAACATTGCTGTGAAATGTTAAAATTTCCCCCAGACTCCTCCCCATGGAGTGTTCTTAGTTTAGAAAACCAGTTGTGAAGTATCTTTTCATTTTCACTAAAGCTCTCATAAAGAACAGAAGTATCTGTTTTCACATGACCTTTGGAATTTCATAGTGTTTGAGGACACTCCATGTTTGCTTTTGCTTCAGTCATTCTTGAACACTATCTGAACCTGTTGTAACTTGGCATCCATACACCCACATTTCTTTGAAGGATGTGAAACTATACTGAGTTTGTAGTGTAGTAGCATCAACACTCTTGCATGTAGAGTGAGGTTTCTTCTAGTCTGACTGAGCCAGAGATTCAGCTCGCTATGGTATTTAGGTATGTCGTACTAAAATCTCCTGGTTCAAAAGCTGCTCTTGTATAGAGCAGAAGTTCTGGTTAATATCTGGATCACTGGATTTACTTAGTTCTGAGTGCACCAGGTACAATCTGTTTGTTGTCATCTTTGCAGTGAGTCTGTAAATTCCCCGGATCTGGTGAGGTGGTTTTTTGTGGTGATCAACTTGAGGTATGAGTCTGGGCTTCAGCTTGTGTACAGCTTTACAGTTGCAGTTAATACAGTCTGAATGATGTACTACTACTAGTAGAACTTCATCTGATTAATGGCACAGAGTGAAACTGCAGCTTACCTATTGGTGGAGGTCCTCTTCTGAAATTTGGAAATCAAAACGCGTTTTAAACTCATGTAGATTTAAGAGTGAATGTATGTTTTACTATCTCTTCCTTTAGGTCTGGTTTTCTACTTATTAGTATCTTTATAAGGAAAGCATAAATGCATACCTGTAGTTTACTACAGGAATCTTTAAGACTTGCTTTAACAACCTAAACCAGGATTTTTTTTTGAGGGGTGAGGGGAGGCGACATTTGAGTAATTTTAATGTAGATAGGTGAAAATCTACAGAGTGCTCTGTCATTCTCTTCAGCCGAGTGCAGTAGAGAAAAGTACATTTTTAGCACCCACTTTCAGGAGCAGAATCTAAGCTGTTTTAGTTTGCAAGATGGAGATCTTGCCTGTTATTATGAATTTATAGATTTAATCCAATAACTGAAAATCTCATAGATTATATTGAGGTTAAAAAAAGACGTTATTTCTATAGAATATTGAAATTTTTCTTGCCAAAAGCCATGCTATCCTGTTTTTCTTATAGGAATGGCTAAAACTTGTTTCTTGTTCTTTCTTTCTTTGTTGGCATGGTAGGAATGCATTTAAATATAAGCAAAAAAAAAAGCTTTCTCTCTACCTTTTCCAGGCAAGATGGTTAATGTTGCATTAGGACCTTGTGGCTGTGCAGTACAGGGCCACGTGCTTTTGAGAAGATATGTTGACAAATTAATATGGTGCAGTTCAGTTTTGCAGGGCAGGATTAGTGCTCTTACCTGTTCCTTGAGAACTGTCTATTCAATACTCCTAAAGATAATACTGGAGCCATGGTTCTGTTTAACAAGAATAAAGGACTATAATCATTTCCTTGATGTGAAAAAGCAACTTGATTTGGGTTTTATGGAGGATATCCTGAAGCAACTTCTTTCCAGTGTCTTTGAGACTCATTTACCACAGAACAGGAATATTTTTTTAGTGGTTATTTGTAGACGTGTAGAGTAACTGATAAATTTTATCCTAAAAGGACATGGATTTCTGAGTTCTTTTCCAGATCATGCTTCATTTGTTTGTTCCATTGCTATGGACATCTATGTCAGCTTTTATCACTGGTATGCAGCCAGGTAATTCTGATAGCTCATGCCTTGTTGCACCAGTTTAGGTAACTAAAATGGATGCAGTTATGGAATGATCTGCTGAAATCTGTGCTTCTAATTCCAGACTTTCATCAAAATAATGGATTCATCCTCCTAATATCTGATAGTGCTGCTTTTGGATAGACAGCGGAATAAAGAGCAACATCCTTGTTAATGCACAGGGGATTCTAATCATTCTGTGGAAATCTATCACTATGTTTATGCTATTAAATGAAAAATACTGCATTTGGTACAAGCAGCAGCCAGATGAGATGAATGGTTCTATTAAAGGCTACCTTCTGCCTCTAAAGATACCAAGCTTTCAGTTAGTTTCTAGTTATTGAAGCTACTAATAAAGCTTTCAAATTGTGGGTAATCCTCTTACACAGGATGTTATCTTTCTTCTCTCTGTCTGCAAATGTTGTAATAGCATGTTTAGGAGTGATGTTCCCCATAGCGTTTTTACTGTTATGACAGGCTTTGGATCTTCTATCAGCAATGTATTTTGTACTATTTTTGAAAGTAGTAGTGGTGGTCACTTCTGTTAGAAGGACTGGGGAAAGTATGAGCACTAATGGCAGGCCTCCCACCTAACCAAAGTACCTTATTGTGGTAAGCTATCTCGTACTTTATTATCTGTACCTGTTTCATAAAATGCCTTTTTTGCCCTTTAGTGTGTAGTCAGTTCTATTATACCTGGATTTTGCAGTGGAGACTTGGCTGTACTATTTCTGTTCGGCTGCTCCTTGGATGGAAGCACCCTGAAAAAGCCGCTCTTCTGAGTGCTGCCGCTGCCCATGGTTTCTCTGCATACCACAAATTAATACTGAAGCCAAAAATTCTCTTAAAAGGAAAACATACTTTGTTTTTCTCTGGAAGATCCTGAGTGCACTGGTACACTGAACAATGTGCAAGATAAGTTATTGAAGGGAAATTTCAGTATATTTAGTGCTCCCCCTTGTGAGGCTTTAAGATCATCTGTCAAGCTTCTCTAGTGTTACAGGTTTGTTTTTCCTGTATCTTTCCTATAAAACTTAAGTCTTGTTGATACTCTGCAGTTGTTTAGATACCTAACTTATTGCACTGATGATAGGTCTAACTTTGTTCTTAGATCATAAAGAAGTTTGACCACAATCCTGCAGCAATTTAATGAAGTGAAAAGCATTGCGTTGAGCTTGGATGATGTTTGTAGTATGTGTAAAATTTGAATATAGATGATTACAATTTAAATATCTTGTGCTATTCAATAGGTGCCTTAGCTTAACTAAGCCAGTATTTTTAATGTTTTGATTTACATGGCATTTACTCTGCTTTTATTTTAGGACTTGGATTTTGTTCGGTTTATTGTCAACTGTTTTACAGATTATTACCCAAACTTCCTCAGTAAGTATTTTAAATCTTAAGCACTGTAGACTTGTGTAATAAGAGCATTTCATAGTATTACAGATGATGGGAGAAACTAAGTCTTCTTGCATGTGCTTTATGTGGTAACTACATGGAACATATGGATGTTACAGATTCAGAATATTTTTGTGCTCTGAAGTCAGCACAACTTTGTGTTGTAAGTAAACTTTACATTCATCAAAAATCAACTGGCTTTTCATGAAATAATAATCTAAGACATGTTTTTAGTGATTAAAAACTGATATAGGCATCTAGTAGAACTGAATTGGCCTATTTTTTCCTTTGCTCCTTGTTACTTGGGTAGAAGCTTTGCAAACTTGCATGACAGTTTGTATCCTTTAGGAGTCTTCAGGGGACAAAGAGTGAATACCTATAGAAAATTTTAGGGAGCAATGGTTTGCTGTAAACAGGAATAAGGCACTCATGTACACACGTAGAAAAACCTGCATACTTGCCTGCTAATTTTTTTTCATGGATAGGCAAACACCAAATAGTTTTTGCTGGCTCATCTTAAATGAGTTACAAATTTTAAGTGAAAATGTGTCTGTGAATATTGAAATTCTGTACAGCAACTGCTTAAATTTCAGCTTGCTGATCAAAGTTTTGAACTTTGATCAAATAGCAAACTTAAAGCTAATGCAACACTGATTTTGGTTTTTTGACATCCAAGAGAAATTTTGGGGTGCTTCTGAGTCAAAGTACTAACTTTTCAGACTTCTCTGCTAAAATGAAGGAAGTCTGGAAAAAATGTAGATTTTCAAAGACTTGCTATTTGTTTCTTTGGGAAGAAGAGGTACTGAATATACCTGTTAAACTTGGTTTTCTGTTCAATAGTTGCTTTTCTAGGTCAGGTTGAGATCTTATCTTTCTCTGCCTTATTTGGGGAGAGTACTTACTAGTAACAGTATGTCAGAAAAGTAGTATCCCAGAGAAGTATATAAACAGTGTGTAATTTAGAATTTTATTAACTGTTTTCCAAGCAACAGCTAATGTTTTTATATGATAATAGAAATAAGTTTATACATGTTAGAAACAATTATACAAAATTGCTTCTACAAGGAAGTAAACATGGAGGTTTCTAAAAATAAGTAGTCACTTTTTACATGACCATTATTGCTGTGCTTCCTCTTAAACATAGAAATATATAACAGTTGGTATTCAGATTATTTCCTTTTTGTTGTTTCAGCAAAGATAGTGATCTTTGAAATGCCATGGATAATGAATGGTGAGTTGTTGTAGATTTTGTTTGACTTTTTTTTTTTAGATCATGATAACTTTTAAAAATTAGTAGCATAAGTAGCAAGCATTTTTCTGCTCTATGTAGATTCAGCTGGATGGTGGAATTTGTTAAACATGCATCTTTAAATCTGTCAATTTGTAGATTGCATACTTTGTTTTTCCTTCTAGCGTTGTATTTTGGATCATATTTTAAATGGAGTCCGCATTCATCCTGTTATTTTTAATGCTTTGGAGACCTTGATAATAGTCTGTTCCTTGAATGTTTACAACTGTGATCCTTTCAAAGCTAGATCTGTTCATGATTTAGGAATACTATCGTCAACAATTGATGGACACTTACAACCAGCCGAAAACTAGAAGGCACAATTTCAGATAGATGCCTGACACTGATATTGTTACATATGTTTTGATGTGTGTACTTCAATAATTATCTTTTTTAATTATAATGTAGAGGATAAACATGTTATTCCTCTGTTTTTACCATGAGTACATATTTCTGTTGCATTTAAATTTTTCCATATATTCATGTTTTGCCATCACTGAAATAACTATGGTGTTTGAAAATACTCTGTAGATCTAAACAAGTGTTGTTTAAAGCAACAAAACATTTCAACTAGGAAGAGTATAAACATATCTTTCCCAACGTCTGTCACTCAGATTTGGAAATACAATTGTTTTTACCCCTCTTTACTTCTTGGGCTGAATTCCAAGACAGCAAAGTTGTCATTTATTAAATCAAAGATACTCTTTTCGTGAAAGTCTGTGGTCTGTCTGCATTCGTGTATAGAAAGGTATATGTCCATAAAATATTTTCTCCAAATAATACTCTTTTCCTTGTACTGTTTATTCCCATTATAGTAGATAGTTTCAGAGCAGGTCCTGCATTATCTTATGGGATGCGGGTCACTTGTGTTCTGTAATGTCTACTAGTACACTGCAGGAAAAAAAACCCCACACCCTTTCCTGACAACTTATGTATACCTTTTGTTTTTTTTTTTCTTAAAGCTGCGTTTAAAATTGTGAAGGGTTGGCTTGGCCCAGATGCAATAAGCATGTTAAAGTTCACAAACAAGAGTGATGTACAGGAATACATCAGTGGAGAGTATCTGCCACCTCACATGGGTGGAACTGTAAGTATGTTAACACTTCATGGTCCTTTTGTGATGGATTGACACACCTATATAAATTACATATGTGGGGTTGAGAGTTGGCACTTCATGGATGTGAAATTTCTTGGAATTGTTCTGCCAGTGATCATTTGTAAATCACATTAATATAAAATAGGTTAACTTTGTGAGAATTTGATACCTGGCAGTCTTAAGTACAGAAGTATTTTTTCTGAATCGTTCATCCATTTTCAAGTCACTGGAAACTACTTAGTTTTTCAGACCTTTGACACTTAAAATGGATTATTTTTTTTATTCTTCATTCTAGTCTTTTTTTCTCTGACGTGTTGAATTAGATATTACGTGTTGGTTTATGAAACAAGTTCTGTGAACAGAAAATAGGTTTCATGGCCCTCAGACTTTTCATTCTGCTCCAAAGCTGTGATTCATGAAAGACAACAATACTGCAATTATTTTTGCTTTGTTGTCTCTAGGGCTACAGTTTAAGACATGGCTGTAGAAGATTCTTTTTTTAAGAGTATATTAGAGCTCCAAAGACTATGCTACAATCGCATATCACTTTAACAGAACTTGGATCCTATTCTAGTGCAATCTAAACAGCAAAACAACACAAATGTCTTGTATAACAGATTTCACTTTTCACAAAGCTAGTAAATCAGTTTGCATAATCTTTGTAACAGAATTTGCAGAAAGAGGATGTTTTTCCTTTAAACTTTCTGTAGACCGTTTATGGTAGTGGAGTAAGCCCCCTGTAGAAGAATTGCTTTTACTTATTCTTTTCCTTCTTTTTTCCTGAAGTATTTCTGGAGTTATGGCAGTAACAATATGGAGAAAAGGAAGTCTCCACTTCAGCACTAGTAGGAGAGGCCATGTTCCTTTGTATATAACCTCAAGGTAGAGTTCTGGTAGCCAGAACATAGGAAACTTGTTTTGGGAACATAAAAGACTAAGTTACCTTGTTTGTTATTGGCTGCAAGTAGCAGCCTTTAAGAAGTGCTTTTGCATGAGACTTGAAGAAAAGATACCATCTTTCTCCATGGAAAATTGCTGCCCAAACTCCCCAGTCTCATATAGGAACTTTCTCATATTAAAGAAAGCTGAAATTGCTGAACTTCAGGTGTCGGCATTGAGGGATGGTCTGATGATGTCTGCAGTGGCTTCAGTAAGGATTTGAATGGGGTATAGCAGCAGTTCTGGGCCCAGCTCCCACAGTGTTGTCCTACTGTTGCAATAGAAGGGAAAGTTCTTTTCATCCTTAGAGCTAAGTATCTCCTGTGTGCTTTTTAGACCATCTTACCTGATAGCTAATTACATCTTTAAAGAAAGAAATAGTGGCTTTGCTAAATATCCTCCTGAAGTGTCTGGTTGAGCATACAATCTTAGAGTTATCCTTTATCCTGCCTTGGTCCCAAAAGGTCTTGTTCCCAGTTAGTGACTGACCAAGTTGACCCCGTGTTGCCAGTCTTAAGAGCATTAACAAGTTCCGAAATCCAAACCATTCATCTGTGGTAGTAAGTTGCAGTGACAGAAATAAATTAGTAGGATAGGAGTAAACTTGCTTGACAGGGATGCCAAGAGTTTTGACAATTTCAGAAAGATAGTTATATCTCTGCATATTTAAAAGCTCTGTATTTTGAACCAGCAGATTTTTTTTTAACTACTGAGTCTCTTTGGTATTTAACCACTTGATGGGTGTCTTGAACTTTTCACCTTGGAACTGTCATTACCTGGAAGCACTGCTAGTAAATACTCAGACTCCAAAATTGTGCTTTGGATCTTCCTTCCAAAGATTTCTTCAGTGCATGCAGTAAAGCAGGATTTTACAGCTCTCTGACAGCAAGGAGTTTTTCAGTGACCAGACAACAGACAACTTACTGACCTTTTCTCAGAATTTAACTTTTCTTGATGTGGTTAACCTCGACTCCTCTCGAGACAGCTAGGTAGAGTACATTCACCAGTATTAGTGTTGTCAGGCCTGTTTTTTTAAGGCAGTATCTGACTTACACGGATTTATTCTCTCCATTCTCCACTCAAGTGTTTTGCTTTTAGGTTTTTTTTTTGCCTCTTTCTGTTGTCTTTGATTTCCACATATTTAGGAGTGGGTCGTCATATTTGCAAGTAGCATAATACAGGTGAAGAGCACAGCATATCTGTGCATCCTTCGTACTCAATGCAATAGCCATAAGTAGACTCTCACCTTCTTTCTGCTGTGTCCCCTGCTGCGATCGATCTTGGAAAAGCAGGGTCTTGCCAGATGTAAACAGCTAGTGGAGCAGGTCATTTGGCTGGTTACTTTGGGGAGATACAGAGAATGTAAGTGCAGTGAAATCTAGGTATTCAAGAAGAATGTTAGAGTCTAGTTTTGGAATTAACAAAAAAAAAACCCAAACATTTTGGAAATAGAATTAATAATGTTGAACTTGAAATCAGTGATTACTTTGCTTATTCAAGGGAACTGTTCTGTGTCTCCATCGCAAGCCTTCAAGCTTCAATATCTCAGTCAAGTTATCTTTAAGTATGTTTTGTTTTTACTCTGGCTCAAGGTCACTCAAAGGATGAATCTGAGGCTTTCCTTTAGCATGAAAATTTTTCAATCAGCTGTCAGCTAGCTGAGGAAGGAGGAAAATAAATTGCTTGATTTCGGGTAACTAGTGGACAAAGATGTCTCCAGAGTATCAAAAGCATTAAAACTAATTATAGAAAACAGAAATCTTGATTTTTGCAGCACTTTCGAATGTAAACTTAAGTTCCATTCAATTCCTCATCAATGTCTGTTGGCTGTTACTATACTGCAAATTAAGAGGGGCTGCACACCACATCCCTGGCTTTGAATTGTTCTTGTCCACAGTACGCAGAGGTCCCTCTATAGCAGGTTTGTCTTGGAGAACTTGTCAGAATTGCTCAAAACATATCTAGGAGCAAGCTAATGATAGGCAGTCTGGAAAATTAGGGTTAGGTGCTCAAAAACCACTTGCTAATTGTTTTCATTTGGTAATAAAAGTATACTAAGTCAGTGTTTTCCTAGATTCCCAATCTGTTGTATGTCACATTCTGCTGTTTCCAGCTGTTGATATTGATGGTGGAATAGTCCCGTTCTTAAGGCATACATGTTTCTGACTGGTCAGGGAGGTTTGTTGCCTCTTCAATAACATTTAGCGCAAGACTAATGTACATACAGTGTACACGTTGATGCAGGACATGTACATGCAGTAGGGTTTTAGTTTGTGTATTTGCCCACTCTTCCTTTCAGAGATGGATTTAACAAGGATGAATTGCCCAAGATTCCCTCCACTGGTGCCAATACTGAACAATGTGTGCAACTAGAATGCTGTGCTCTTCAGCTGGGTATCTGAATTGATAGCCTGTAGCTTGTTTTCTTGGAAGTACCTTTTAATGGGTCAGCGGCCTGAAGTTAAGACATCACTAGGCATTTTGCATGGGATTTCATGGCCACTGTGTACGTATAATCTTAGAAAATATTACTACCATGATTAGGATATCTCTACCACAGTTGCCAAACATAGTAGTGTAAAGTCTCTATGTCTGCTATAAAAGAAAGCTATTAGTATATAGAATGGATATATCAAGCATTGAATAAATCTGTCTTGTTTACCTGAGGTTTTTACACTGTTAGTGGATAAACCCATGTCACTGAAATTTACAGACTGTGATTGGGAAATGTGGAACTTTCAGTTGTCCCAGTGATGGGATTCTGCTGCTGAAGCTATCCAGCATTGTGGATTAATGTGGCCAAGTGCAATGTGCAGCAAAATTAACAACTCTTTATTAAGGTCACATTGTCATATGTCCTTCATCATATGCTGGAAGGGAGTGAAAAGGCTTTTTATCAGTTTGGCTAAGGGTAAGCTAGCTATTTCTGCCTTGTATTTGCAAATGGAGGATATCAGTATTATGCAAGCCTACTGTAATGTTTGTAATGGTCTGGAGTCTTCTCTTCTAATTGTGAATTAATCTGTTATTGATAATTAAAGCTTGTCCTTTAGGCCTTTAATAGGACATTGCTTGAGCCAGTGGATACCTGTTTCATTCACCTAAAGGTCTGTGACTGTTGCTTCAGCCTGAAGAATAGGAGAGATTTAGGCTTCGATTATAGATTGGCAGGAAGTGTGCTGTTTTGTTTGGGGTTTCTTTGAATGGCCCCATTTCCCTAACATCACATTATTCTTTGTTTTGAGAAAACCTACCTGCTTATGGAGAGCTCTCTTGAAACACTTTTTTTTTTAAACTCCTTGCTGGTAACATAGTTTGGGAACTGTGGGCATGGCTCGAGTCTGCCTCACAGGAGTCAAAGCTATGTTATTTTCCTCCTCCACTGGAAATGCTGATGGACTAATTTAATTTACTTGGGGTTTAAAACTGTTTGAAAATACAGTAGGATACCTGTAAGATACCTGTTTAAACACTGTTTTTAGCATTAGATGTAATAAAACTATTTTAAGAATGTTAAGAGAATTTCTAGTTAGCAAAAACATTTTTACTGGTCTTCCAATAGAAAAGATACCTTTACTGTAGAAGCATTGAGAACTTAAGTATGCTGCTTCTACATTACTCAGGTGTCTTGAATAAGGTCTTTAAATTGACTTGCAGGGTATCTTAAAGGGCCACACACTAGGTTAAACTTGAGGGATTGTCTGGAGTTGTTTTGTGGTTTTTGGTGGTGTTTTTGTTTTTTTTTTTTTTAAACTGTGGTCATTGTGAAACTAAAATAGGAAGAACTGAAGTTTTTCATCACTTTTGGAACATTTAGAAATAGCTGTCATAGGTTTTAAACCATGTTTTCCAGAACTAAAAACAAAACTACAGCATTGAGACTCTGAATGCAGATCCTCGATAAACCAGGTTCTGCAGTTCTGCTGTGATTATAAATAACAGTAGTAGTTACAACTTAGTGGCTTCACTGGGTGACTATATTTGTCTATTGATGATAAAATAAAACCATTGGTAGTGTCAGCTGTCTGCACAGGGATCCAACTTAAAATGGATAAATGAAACTTAAAAATCATGTGAAACAAAAAAATTAATAGTATTTCCATTAAAAAAACAATAGAGAAGGCACTTCTTATCCTCCTAAATAACTCGTCCTTTAAAAATCTCCTTATGTTCTAGGATTCCTTCAAGTACAGTTATCCTCCATTGGTTGATGATGATTTTCAAACTCCTTTATGTGAAAATGGGCCCATTACTAGTGAAGATGAACATGAAAGTAAAGAAGAGATAGATGCGGACACCAAGGAAACTGGGGAACTGAATGAAGCACAAAACCTTAATCAGAAAAAGGTATCTAACTCTGCAGGTTGAGGCAAGACTAAATGGTTACAAAGTGGGACAGGAGACATATAACTTTTATTTGTTGTCTGGTTTTTACTTTGTGTGGTTTTTTTAACATCTTTTTCTGCATTCCAGTTTGACAAAAGAACCCAGTAAAATTATTATAAAAAAATTATACTTGCAGTCTGCTTCTTAGTGCTTCTTAGTCTGTTATAACCAGTGTCTTGCTTCTAAATGAATAAAATGTACACCGGATATTTAGTGCATCTCTGGAATATGGTGAATAGTACAGTAAAATTTAAAAGGTTTCTGTGCTTTGTTTTCAAATGTTATGTCTTTCTAGTTGGTTTATTTTTAATCTTGGGATATCTAGTGATGTCGCTCTTAAAATACATCTAGTTTTCTCAGATCCTTAAGTTGGTATGTATGTGAGAAAATATTAACAGTTAAATATTTATACTTTACTGGCTGTAAATTTGTTTTCTTAAACTCCTGATAAAATCTTGGCACATAAAAGTTTTCATTTAGTCTCAAAAGAAATTGTATCCCTAGTCCATCAATCCTGATTTACTTCCTGCAGTGCTGTTTATCCAGAAATATAAAGGAATAGTTTTACACAAGTCCATATAAAATGATATTTAGGAATATGCAATGATAGTCAGTGGGGTTATCACTTTTGCAAATAGTAGGAAGAATCTGAAACTCACCAGTTTAGTGCCATAATTAATTTCGGAATATGAATTGCAAACTTTTGTTTAATGGAGTAGAATACTTCAATAGTACACTTTGATTTACTGTTTTGTTTTTGTCAGAATAATTTGAAACAGACATTACACATTAAGTAGTCCAGCTGTTCCTTGCAACTTGGCCAGGTACTCAAAAAAAGATAATTTCATTGACCTTAAAGTCAAAAGGAAGCATTACATCACCATTACACTCAGTAGCTTTTGGTTGTAGCACATCTTGCAAGCATTGATTCTCAGATGTGGAAATGTGGAGAATTCCTGTTCAGTGTCCGAGTTGGCTTTGGTGTTTAATAGCCTCACTGTCTGTTTGTTGTTAATTTGTTTGGCTGACTTCAACTTTCTACTTAAGTTTTTTTTTTTTTACTTTTACTCTTAAAAATAATGATTTGGTTTATGGTATTTTCTTTTATACAGTGGAATTTTAGTATGAAGCTGCTACTCAATGTTTTCAATGAACTAAGATTGACATTTATGCCCATCATGTATCAATTAATCTTAAGGCATGTCTAAGGCCTTACCTTTAACATACTTTTAAAACTTCAGACCATATCTTGTTGTTGGTACTGTTACTGTAAAAAGTAGATTATTGATTTGCTTCAACTCACTGTTCTTCTGTTCACGTCTATAAGAATAATACTTGCTATTTCTTCTACAGCAAGTACACTACTGTTTGCCACTTCAATGTTACGTTCTTTTGCAAAATGTATTTTTCAGAAATAGTCCCTTATTGTCTTAAAGGTTGGCATTTCTTATTTCCAAGTTAATTATTTTTTACTTGAATGTGTCTAAATATAAATATTAAAATATATTTTTAATAAGACCAGCTTCCAAACTAACAGATTTCAAGTGATCTGTGAGATATCGTCTTCATTTTTTTACTACGCTACCCGTATTTATATGCAGACTCTTGTCATCACTGAGAATTAATCTATTTTATATATGTATGCCTCGTCTTGTCCCATTGTGTGCCTATTTCTTTCCACAAGGTAGAGGGAGTCATGAGTTAAACTTGGTTAGTAAGTGCCTGTCCTGTAGATGCCTCCACCTTTAACGTGTGCTATCGTAGTGTTTTCTCTGGTAATTTTAATTAGATTTATGTAGAACAAATATGGAGAACACATAACTAGTGCAGTGTATTTGCACACTAACCTTTTACTACAATGGTAATTATTAAAAAAATAAATCAAATTGCTGTGATTTCTTTTTATAAAAACTTATTTTCTATAAAATTTTGTATTCCTTGCAATCCCATACTTCAAATTTGCATAAACTGGATTTTCTTCATGTCTTTGCTCTGTATTTTAAGTTGAATAAAAACAAGGCTAAGTGAACTGTTCAGCTAGCTGATCTTGAGTCATGATTTAGCTAATTTTTTCAGTCTTCTGTATTTCTCTCCCTGCCGCATTTTGTGCTTAATTCCAGAGTTCTTTCATTTTTTTAATAATAAGATGTCCAGACCTGCTGACATCTGTTTTATTAATGTAATAGAGGAAAAGCCTCAACCTAAGATATCTTCAGTTTTGGATGCACCAATTCAATCAGCATTTTTTCTTTGAAGTTCTCCAGTAGTTCAGACTTCCATCTAAAAGCAGTGAAGCAACTTTGAAAACTATGTTTAGCAACTTTGCAATGCAATAAAATATGGAATTGTTGCTGTTTTCTGTTCAGTGTTGCAGTGATTGTGTTTGGGGTATCTGTTTTTAATTGAGCAGCTTTGCAGTGGAAGAATAACATCAGTGCTTTATAATCTTAAATATTTGAAGTACTATAACTTAATGTGTCCGGAGTTTTCAGAAATAACCAACTTGGACTTCAGGAAAATACATGGAAAAAAAAAAAAGCAGAAGTTTTGTTTCATGTGTTTAATACATTATGTAACTTCTATAACAAATCATTTTATTCAGTGGACTTCAAGGAGCTTTAGGGAATGAATACGTATTAAGCTTTGTCTGTAATATATAAGTTGTTGAAATAAGCTTCTTCATATTCTTTGAAATACCTGCATGATTCTGTAACATGTGTAACCCAGGTTTCTAGTTAATCATTAACTATCATTTTTACTCAGATGAATTCTGTAGAACAAATTTCCAAATCAGAGGAAACTGACAAAACAGAGATCAAACCAAAAAATGCAAAGAAAGCATTAACCACTTTTAAAGGACCTTTATTACATATCAGGTAATAATAATTTTCTTTAATTTTTTTACAATGTGCCTTGGACACTTGAGTCTGAACTAGTTGGTTTTAAAATAAATTTTTTTCAGACTATTAGAGGAAAACAGTTGTAAACGTCCTTCTAAGAATGTTTTTTACAAAACTCGGAATTTTTCAAGTCTTAAATGTTTTTAGTGAATCTTTTGGTGTCACCGTTGGCATGCTTTTTGTACTAATTCGTAGGTGTACATTTTATAGAATCGTAGAAGCATTTCATGATCTGTTTTATATTAAGAAACTGTCACTGGATTTAGTTAAACCTATGCTTATCTGTAATGAGAATAGTGGTTTGACACTGATTCCATCAGCTTAAGAAAAAACAATGTGTTTACTAAGACAGCTTTCACTGTTAAATCTTACTTGAATTCTTTTAAGATGGTGTAAATGTCTATACTAGTAGTTTGCACCAATTAAACTTAAGGAATGGGTCCAATTTGTTTTGTGTGGGCAGGACTTTGTATAAATGGCATATCTGCTCAGAAGATTGTCATCCAAGATGCTTATGTATTGCAGTTAATCTACTTTTTATCATTGAACTAATTAAAAAAAATTAAAAAATTAGCCAATATCACTTTTTCTTTTCACTGCACTTCAGGTTAAGATGCTTGTTTAGAAATTGATTTAGATGTTAACTTTTATTTTCACTTCCAGTTTGCTATTAGATGAATGAAGAAAATATCTAATTTATAGGTAATTCCTTAGCTAATTTTGTAAGTGCTGTACTGAATTAGTTTTGGAATGAATTTGAATAATGACATGCTTATTAGCATCAAAAAATATTTTGTATGTGTCAAATTTTCCTTGTTTTGAAATGAAAATTATCTTTATAGTCATTTATGCAAAAACCTCCTCTGTATAGACTTGGTTTCTTGTATGGCGAGATGAAGGCATAGGCTGCAGAATTGTGATTTTTAAAAGAATGTTTAAAACTTTTTGTCCCTATGACAAAGGCAGCGGTGTTCTTCCATCCACTTCTTAAAACAAAACAATAAAACCCACAAAAAGCAAACTCAAAACAGCAAAATGCACAACCAACTAAACAAAAAAAAAATCAACCAAAACACCCAAACAAAACCACCACCCCAAACTCCCACACAAACTGAAAACCACTCAAAACTCCCACACAAACAGTACCTTTTTTCTCTTAAAATATTTCAGGTTCTGCACTATTGGAGTAGAAGTGTTGGAGTTCATGTAAATTACATGAAAGTGTAAACTTAGCAAGACTACAAGTATTAGCATCTCTATACTTGACTGTCATGGAAAATAAAATACTGGTGTCTGTTTCTTCTTGGTTTGTTTTTTTTTTTAGTAAACTTTTGAGAGTATGTGCAGTTGTTGCTCTTTATTAATACTCTTAACTCTGTGGAAGCTAGAATTAGGTTTTTATTTCCCTGCAATTGTTCTCAGAACACTGACCTGAATGTTATTGAACTGATAATATAAAGTGCCATTTATAGGTTTGGACAGGCACCTATCTCAGAGTCTATAAGCTCTGCCGGTGTACTTAGCTTGTATCCCTGCTGACCCCAGCATTGCCCTGGGATGGGAGCAGCCTAGAGCCTGGCTGGGAAGCTGAGCACGGCAGCTCTGGCACAATGGAATGGCCAAGGACCGGCAGCCTTTTGATGGCTCTAACTGCTGCTGCAGAAGACATGGTGAGGTCTCCTTAGACCTCCTCCAGGGATGTTCCTTACCTGTCATGGTATATTACCCAGCTTTGGTCATACGGTACTTGTGCTCTTCTCAAATTTGTAGTCATACTCATCTGTCTCCCTGGTTTAGACTACTATTGCATTTGCCCTGCATACCTTACTATGAAAGACTGGTCTTTATTGACTTTCCTCCTCAATTATTGAATGTACGTGGTAAGGCAAAAAGCAGCATTTTACTTGCGCTGTCTGGCAGAAGACTACTGTATTTTGAGAAGAGAATTTCTAGTACAAGCTAAAATGGTTAACCCACACACAGAGTAAAGAAAGTAGTGTTTCTGTAAAAATTAAAATAAAATGCCCCGCTCTCCCAACAACTACACACCACCCACTCCCAGTGCTATGGAAGTGGTTGATTTCACTGGTATATGCCAGAGGCCCCAAAACTTTTTTTTGGGGGGTCAATAGCCATAGTTGGTGGTGGAACAAGAAAGATTAGGCTCTGGCAGAAGGTTCCTTTCCTTAAGCTCTGTTTGTGGCTTGTTCTGATGGCAATTAATGCTTTCCTGTTTCGTTTCTGGTTTATCTTGCAATTGCTGTAACACCCAGCTGCAATAGTACAGTATTAAGATAACCAAAATACTTTGTAACTGTGATCCTTTCTCTCCCTACTGTTGTTGGTTAATTAGGTTGAGAATTTGGGAACAAAAAAAAAAAAACTGAGAGGAGAATGGGATACAGTTACCTTATTAGTCTGTTTTAAACCCATCAGTATCTTGATTTCTGCCTTACACACTTCTTTCCTACCAAAACCAAATAAAAATTCTTATGTCGACTGTCTAATGCATTGTAAAACATAGGCACCCCCCATATGCACCATTACCATTGCATTCTGCTTCTAGCATGGGTGTTCAGGCTTGCCCTACAACACCAAGGATTTTTCTTCTCGGCTAATACACTGGTTTGTTTTAAGTGAGGGAATGAAGAAGGATTGGTACTGTAAAAGGAGGTCTTTTGAGGAGGAGGTCAAACTAATATGAAATTGGCATTCTTAAAGAGGAGAAGGGAAAAAATGTAATTTTTTTTTTTTTAAAAAAGATTTTCCGTCAAAAGAATATGCAGTTCTGTAGTACTGCATAGTATGGCAGTTCTTGTGCGTACTCCTAATGTGGCATAGAAAGAAAACAGTTTTTCACTTATTACTAGAGTTTCTTCTCAACTTGTAATATATGAGCATGCTCTACTTCTTGCCTAGTACTGTTCATTTGAATGCTTATTCAAAAATGGGTTGTGTTAGTTTGTTATGGTTTAAAAGATTTCATGCATGATTCTCTTAATTGCACAAGAATATTAAAAACAAGCAATAACTTTATTTATGCATGTGTCACCAGAAGTATGTGAAGACTGACTCATAAGTACAAGTGAATTTAGCTGTAGTGGTTGAAATGGTTGCCACTTGCAGATAGCTACCTGCTCCTCTTACACGTGCACTATACCCATTACAAGGATAGATGTATGAGGTGGAAATTACTCCCTGTCTATGACACCTTATACTCTTTAATATTAGCATAAACTAAAATGAATGATGCTTTCCCGTAATGTACCACTCAAAGATGCAGTGGCTGAAGTGACTGTATGTATCAGTCGGCTATTCCTGCTGTTGCAGATGGTCACGCTCTCCCAGACGGAAGAAGTCAAGGGCAGTAATCGGCTGAGGCAGCTCAGTCCGCTTGTGGTCATGAGTCATCCCTGAGCTTCACTACAAAATTTCTGCATTTTGTTTTCACAGCTTTTTTTGATGAAAAACTGTTTATAGTGACTGTAGCTGCAGGGTTGAAAGTGTTTTGTTTTCCTGTAGGTGTGGTCAGGTTTTTTTCTGTGATATGTTGTAAAGATAATTTGAAGGAACTAATTAGTTTTAAATTTCTTAATAGCCCAGCAGAAGAACTGTATTTTGGATCCAAAGAAACTGGAGAGAAAAAATGTTTGATAGTTCTCACAAATGTCACTAAAAACATAGTGGCTTTTAAGGTAAACGTTTTACGTGTGGCCTGGCTTACTTTACTAAATGTGTAACTCTTTCTTGGTTTAGGTAGGGAGGAAGGAATGCTATTAAACCCACTGTTCGGTCTAAATTTGTTATTCTATTGTGATGTTTGAAGCAGATCAAAGAAATCTTCTGGCTGAATTTATGCCTATTATGTACCTACCCTAAAGAGAATAATCAGAAATACAAATCTTTGGAGCACTGACTGAAAAAGAGTTATGGAGATGCTTAGTTCTTTAGTGACAGCCTAATACTTTCTGAAAAAGAAATGCTCGAGCATTCAAAAGTCATCTTTTTAAGATTTTTCTCCTTTTTAAATCTTGGCTGGGTACAAGTTAGAAATGCTCCAAAAGGTCACAAATCCATCTGCAAATGTCACTATCAAAGGAATGGATGCAGTTATGTTTGCTTCAGAAATGCTGACTTGCATCTTGATTTCGTTTTCCTGTGCATCTTTTGCGTTCTCTGTACACACAAATAACTAAAGTTTTCATACTTTCATGCTATAAGTTTTAACAGATTATCCATTTGATATTCTTGGCTCTTTTTAAATATGTATATAAGAGAGAAAAATAGCATATGTCAGAAAAGAAAGGATGGAAGTGGTTGAGAGAGAGGAAATGGTGAAATACCAGTGTCTGATTACTCCTACAAAATAAAATATTTTAAAGGCTCTGTGTATTACCATGTCTTAATATTTAAACTTTTGGGGATTTTAGTTATTACAGAATGAGGGAGGTTATGAAAAGTCATATTTTGTGCATGCCTTTACTATATGTTTGCTTGGGTATTTCTTGTTCATAGGTGAGAACAACTGCTCCTGAAAAATACAGAGTTAAACCCAGTAACAGCAGCTGTGAACCTGGCACATCATTGGATATAATAGTCTCTCTTCATGGTGGTAAATAAAATCTTACAATAGAGTTTTTAAGAAGTCTGGACAAGCTTTATTAACAGGCTGATGCTCTAGATACTAACGTTTTATATGCTTGCTGGGGTGTAAGACTGACACCCATGCCTACTTGACTGTTGGATGAGAATGTTACTATTTGTGAAAAAACATGGTTGTCAGCATTTGAGCAACTGCCCATACTGATTTACTACTCCACTTAGGCATAAGCGGCTGTTGTCTGCAGCCCATTCTGTTTCTTGTCTTATTTAAAAAAAAAAAAAAGTCGCAATGGCAGCTGTCTCACTTGTGCCCTATTATAAGGGCAGATTGCCAGTTTATCTGCGGTAAATCAGTTTCCTAAACTGTTGCAAAGACAGGTCAATTTGCTGGAGAATGCATTCTTCCCAAAATTCAGGGTTGTCCTTAGTCGTTCAGATGAAACTAGTTCTGTTAAAATGAAACTGTAGAATTTGGGGAAAACTGTAATCAAAATCGTTAAGCTTAAGAGAATGATTTCATTATTTTTACTTCTGTAAGTCAGTGTCCAATGTCCTGCAATAAACAAGCTCTCATTTTGAAACACTTTTGTTCAAAAATGCTTCTATATGTTTTGTAATATTGTCGTTTTATCTATGCACGCTTTTGCTTTTTTTTTTTTATTTGAGGGCAGGTTTTGCAGCTTCTCTGCAGGATCGTTTCCTTATAATGGCAGCAGAAATGGACCAGTCTTCTGGAGCAGGGGTACCAGAACTGACTCAGTTTTGGAAAGAAGTCCCTAGGACCAAAGTGATGGAACATAGGTGAGCATATGGTTTTCTGTTGACAGGGTTTTTTTTAGCCATGATCATTTGGCTGATTTATAGCACTTGTGTATCATAATCAGTGAAGGATTCTCCAAACCCAGTTTTTGTGCTTACTGGCTGAAGTATATTGCTGAAGCTTCTGCTCTGTTTTAACTGATTAGAGGTGTTTTTAATGCATAAAACATCATGGTATTCTGCACATGCTCTTCTTTTTATTGTTGTTGTTCTTGTGCTGATTAAGAGTTAAGTGGAAAAAATGTGAATCGATGTGACAATACACAGGGACGGTATAGTTTTTTTTAAAATAAGAATGTGCCATGAGTTTTCTAAAAAGAAACAAGCAAGGAAAGAAGACATATCAAATGCAAAACTCTTTTCTAGACAATATTAAAAAATACTGCCATTCTGCTAGGGAAAATCATAATTTCGTAGAAAACTTCTGTAAAACCTGTCACATGTTTGTATGTGTATTTTACATATTTAACGGTGAAAAAATACCACTAGGAAAATACATTTCCCCATACACTCTTAAATATATAACAAAATA